GAAATTAAAAAGTTTAAGGTGCTAACATGAAACATGGACCTAAGAATACAATGGGTGGGGAGATCAGCAAATACTATAGCAGATTGTCTAGCCAAGCAAGGGGCAGCTAGGGAAGTTCTGTATTGGGCACAACTGTAACTTATTGCTTTTGTTTTCTTCTTTAGTGGAGAGATCGCAGCTCGCGCCTCTCCAAGGGCTGCTTGTATGTGCTAATCTTTCCAGATTAATAAAAAGTTCATTTATTTATCATAAAAAAAGAAAGGATCCCGCCATGCTAGATGATTGGAGAAGAACATTGTAGAAAGAAGCACTAGTGAAAAACCCAAAAGGAGAGGCTGACCAAATTCTGCTATCCAAGCAAGCTGATCTAGGAACAGAGTATTAAGAAAGGCAATAAGATCATCAACCATACCCATTTCAGACTCCCTCGACCCCCTCCTCAATCCCAAATCCCAAGAGTTACCATTTAGATAGACAGAGGAAATGGTTTTTCTTTATTCAATGAGAGAGTAGATGGATGGGAATCTATCTTTGAGGGAGACATCCCCAAACCAGACATCTTCCCAGAAATGAACTTTATTCCCTTCACAAGCATCAAGTCTGATAAACGGAAGAAAGGAGGGCAAAATGCCATGGATAGCTTTCCAAGGAGATGATTGGGATGCCTTTAGGGCCAAGACCAGCATCCCACCTATTTTCTGCCAATCTGTGTATACTCACTATCACTTTGTGCCACAAGTTGTCCTATTCCAGAGGCAGTCTCCATAACCACTTCCCCAACAAGGCTGTATTCCTTAGCTTTGTGTTTCCTATACCCAACCCTCCACTATCTCTACTTCTAGAGACCACCTCCCACTTCACCAAGTGGCCTTTCTTTGTATCCCCAAGTTCCCATAAGAAATCCCTAATTAATTTCTCCAGATTAATGACCACACTAGTGGAGATCTTGAAGGTAAATAGGAAGTAAATTGGTAGGTTTGCAAAAGTTGATTTTATTAGGGTAATTCTTCCTCCCAAAGAAATGTAATTTCTCTTCCATCCTGCTAACCTCTTTGAGAATCTCTCCAAGACTGGGTACCAGAAACTTTCTGACTTGGGTTCCCTCTTAAAGGTAGTCTTAGATACTGACATATTGTAATGGCCAATCACCAGCCTCACATCCCAACACTCTAGCAAGGTCTCCTACCGCTTCTTCCGATTTGTTTACCCCTACCACACAGCCGTGAAGAGGAAGGGGGAAAGAGGATCTCCTTGTCTATGACCTCTCTTAGCCGGAAAGAAGTCCCTAGCTACCCCACTACCAAAATGGAATAATGGCAAGATGAGATACATCCCTTTATCCATTTACACCACCTCAACCCAAAGCCTCTACGCATCAAAACTTCTAGAAGAAACTCCCAGTCCACCAAATCATAAGCTTTCTCAAAATCAAACTTGCAAACCAAGCATTTCTCCTTTTTCTGGCCCTTATGTTCCACACATTCATTAGCGATGAGAATTTGATCAATTATTTGTCTTCCAAAAATGAAGGCACCTTGGTTTGGAGAGATCAAACAAGGAAGGACTTTCTTAATCCTTTTGGCCAAAACCTTGGAAATGATTTTATACAAGCTTCCCACTAGGCTTATAGGTCGATAGTCCTTCAGGTGGATCGCTTCTAGCTTCTTGGGGATTAAAGCAACAAAGGTTGCATTGGCTCCAAAGTTGAACTTGGCTCTCTCAAAAAAATCAGCAAAGACATCCAAAAGATCAGCACTAATAATCTCCCAACAATCTTGATAAAAGGCCACTGTGAAGCCGTCTGGACCAGGTGATGTAGACATTTCCATCGAGAAAATTGTTCTTGTTATTTCCTGGGTCTCAAAAGGTTTTTCTAGATCCGCCAAAAGATCCCTGGGGCCGACCCTCCACTCAAAGTCACCCAAACTCTCTCTAACTCCTCCACTGACGGCAAACATAGATTTAAAGTGGTTCACAAAGGCTTGTGTTATCTCCTCTTCCCTAGTTAAAATTTGTTCGTCCACTCCAATTGAGAGATAAAATTCTTTCTCTTTCTTCCGTTGGACAACAAATGGAAAAACCCATCTTTCACTATTAATTGATGCCTAGTCACTTGGATGATGGCTTTTTTTGAATAAAAAACATGAACCCAAGGATAATTCCTTAGGTTCCATAGCAAGCAACAAGCATCTTTTGCTATTAATTGTCTATAATCTTGATAAAAAATGAAGCTTCATTTGAAACATAGAAAATCAACAAATTCATGAAAAAATGGAAGAAATAAAAGAAATTTCAGAAAATAGAGGGGTTGAGACTATATTTTTGCCCTAGGAAAATAATAAAAGCAAGGTAAGGGTGAAAAAGAAGAAGAAGAAGAAGAAGAAGAAGAAGAAGAAGAAGAAGATGATGATGATGATGATATATTTTTGGGTTCTTCCATGCTTATCAATTCAAGTTTTGAAGCCTTTGAGGGTTCAAGGTAGTACGAGTCAGTCGCCTGAGGCGTGCCTTTTAAATCACTAGATATTAGTTTACCCTAATCCCCATATAATTTACCCAAAAATTTCTACCATCAAAACTTCATCTTGAAATCCCAATTCCAAACAATTTGTCCACTGTCCACTATCAAAAAAGGATATCATGCAGATAGATAAGCTAGAAAATGTTTCCATTAGTTTAGCAAACTGTGACTTGCCTTTCTCTGAATTTTGGTATTATTATATGCCATCAGTTGTTTTACATTAGTATACATCAGTCCAATTGTTTTCGTCAGGTGAGATCTTAAGACTTAGCTTGTTTGCAATGTAGTTTCATTTGCAATATTGCAAAAGTATAGGAGTGCAAATGAGCATGGTTTTCAAAATGTCATTGACCCAAGCAGTCAAACCAACCCAACTGGATCCATTTACCCCATGAGTCCATAAGACCATAAGGTCCATAACCCATATTTTTTCTAAAAAACCATTGACTCAGTCAGCAAACCACTGACCTAGGGGATGTTTGGAACTGTGGCCGTTTTTCAAAAAAAAACGGTGCCACGTCGGATCCACAAGTATTTCAACAAATGCCCATGTATCTCATTGTTTGGTTCAGCCGATTATTAAAAAATCGGGCATGCCTCGAAAATCGGGACCCCAACGGTTGACTGATGTGCATCCTATGTGGTGCTTACCTGTCAACACATACATGAAAAACAGTTATGAAAATCACCTAAACAAACAGCATAGTGTTGCTCACTGCCTACGTGGCAGAAGTGTTTTTTTTTTGTGAAAAACGGGTCTTGGAAGCATGGGCGTTTTTTCATGAAAATCGGTCCCAAAAAGCACCCAGGCTTCCAAACACCATGCTAGACAGCTGAACCAATGAATCGTTCGTCACAGGCAATGGTTCATGGTTTAAAGTTATAAACAAAAGAAGGTTGAGTGGTTGGTGACTTAGTGAAGGAAGAGAAAGGAATTGATTGGTTCTTCTTTCTTTCATTCCTCTCTAATAATATGTATACCTAACCTAATATCCCAATCTAATGGTTAAGATACAATAAACAATGGAAATTGAACTCAACCATTTTGACCCATTTGAACCGGACAGTTGAACCACTAACCCAGAAACCAAAGGAAAAGCAGTTCCACTTCCGGTTTGGTTATTAAAATGTTGCAAATGAGTTCAACACAAATTCTGATTTATTCTTGTTTTAAATTCCAATGTATTTTGTTTGTTTGAAATGTAAATGAAGTAAAATAAAACTCAAAGAAAAGTAAAGTAAAACCCAAAGCAAGAGTAAACCATAATTTACATTCTTCTGATTTGCACTCCTATGCATTTGTACAAGTGCAAATGGAATTGTGCTGCAAACAAACAGAGCCTAACAATCTACACCACTCCTAGTGGAAATGGTAATGCAACTCATGCTGAAATGTAGTGCTGAAACCAGCTGTAGAGTTGTAATTGGTTGTTTAAAAGTTATAGATCAGTAGCATCAGTTCCTTGGGTTCATACCCATCGAATGAAAGAAGCAAGACCCTTAGCATACATATTGCACATCACATTTAAATGGATATATATCTAGGTGTACAAACTCCTCAGATGAACCTCTTCCAAGGGAAGGGGTTAACAGATACAATCGATATTGTGGATTTGACACTTTAACTTGAGTGGCAACAACTCAAGCTTGCTATCATGTATATACCTATACTTTCTAAGCTGCTAGTTGACTCTAGCTAAGCATATCATTCTCTCCATTATGCATTAAAACTTCTAATTTATTATTGATCAAAAAATTTTAGTGAATTGCAGTCATGGAAAGGATCCATGACCCATTGTTGTGAAGCCCTCAGTTTCTGTTCTGATTTCACCAATAATCATGTAAAGGGATTGTATAATGGGAATGAATGCACACTAGCATATATGTGCACCCATATCTAGCTATGATCAGGGGATAAAAATCAAAAAAACTCAGCAAGGTACCACATCCCTAAAGAATTTGTGGACAGTCATCCATGACCTAAGCATACTAGGTTTATTATTCAAAGTTTCAATTCACTTCTATCTTCAGCCACTCAATGTTTTAAAAGGCATGCCTAGCTCATAGACAAGACTTATTTTGCAGGTCCACCTCGACTGAACCCAGGTGTACCTCACTCGACTTGTGTTATGATTTGATGAATTAACCTCGAATTTGATGCAGAATAGATAAACTATAATACCATAGATTGCATCTATGATGTTTTAAAGTTTAAACAGTTTGGCCTATTAGAACTTAAACATATCAAGGCTACAATCTCCATGTTAATAACACAATGTTCTAGCCTGTGTATATGTAGAACTTCAACAGTTTATTCAATTTCAAGGTCTGCGTGCGTGTGGAATGAAAGGACAAGAGATAGAAACCAACCATGCAGTTAGTTTGCTGACATTGAAATCCATCAGTAACAATCATAGCAGTAAAAGAAGAATACATCAATGAAAGAAAGGAGAAACAATGAAAGATGATTAGCATTTACCTGTACCAGCAGCAGTAATGGCTTGGCGGTACTTCTTGTCCTGAACATCGCCAGCAGCAAAAACTCCTCGTACGCTCGTCTGAGTTGTTCCTGGTTTCGTCACAATGTACCCATCTGAATCAAGCTCCAGCTGCCCATCCAGGAACTTCGTTGCAGGCTCATGCCCAATAGCAAAGAACAAGCCCGACACTTTCAAATCCGAAACATCCCCTGTCACCATATTCTTGACCTTCAATCCTCCCAAAATCCCTCTATCCCCATCTCCATAGGCTTCAACAACCATTGAATTCCACAAGACCTCAATCTTGGGGTTACTCAAAGCCCGGTTCTGCATAATCTTCGAAGCCCTAAAAGTATCCCTCCTATGAATAATATGAACCTTAGAACCATACTTAGTCAAGAAATTTGCCTCCTCCATAGCAGAATCGCCACCTCCGATGACCACCAACGGCTTGTTCCTGAAAATGGGCGCAGCGCCATCGCAAACCGCACAAGCCGATATACCACGATTCCAGAATCCTCCTTCTCCATCTCCGGAACCAGGAAATTTCAATCGCTTAGCGACGGCACCGGTGGCAACGATAACGGAATCCGCCAAAATGGCCTTCGAATCAGTGAAAATCTTAAAAGGATTAGTCGAGAAATCGACTTTGTTAACGGTTTCGGTGAAGATTTCAGTGCCAAATCGGACCGACTGATTTCGACAACGATCCATCAGTTCCATCCCAAGAATCCCTTCAGGGAACCCAGGGAAGTTCTCGACGTCGGATGTGGTGGTGAGCTGACCGCCAGGTGCGATGTCGTTGGCCATCCATCCTTCGAACAGGATGGGTTTTAGCTCAGCCCGAGCGGCGTAGATGGCAGCAGTGTGAGCCGCAGGGCCACTTCCGATGATGCAAACGCGGGTTTTGAGGGTTTGAAGCTCGTCCATGACGCCGGAGGCTTTTGGGGGAGTAGAAGAAAGAGAATCGGCAGAAGATTTTGGATGGGTTCCGGCGAAAGTTGCAAGCTGTTCTGAGAAGCGTCAACAGCTTCGTACGACTACGAGCCCTTTGACTTTGAGCAACGAATGACACATACTGGTCTTTTTGGGCGCCAAAACTCCAAAAAGCGTCGAGGGAAAAGTAAATACTCAGCCACTCAGGATTAGGTCTGCAAAACGACCCAAATTTTGATTCGTTTAAAGGGTTACTTTTGCATGTATCTCTGAAGTCTTAAGTCGTGACTCGTGAGGTACCGGACTTTTCAAAACCTCCAATGACCCGCCTGTTCACTTTTTATCAATGTTTTAAAAATCGACGGTCGAACCATTTCTTGCCTCTAAGTCGTATGTCATCGGTTTGACCGTCTGATCCGAACAGATCAGATCATGCCATGACAATGGTTTTTCATGAAAATAGTGGGGCAAAGCACCATTAGGACGCATAGATATCAAAAATTTATTTATAATTAAAATTAAAAAATCACCTCAATTGGAGTTTATGTTCTTTGAAAGTTTGCATAACCTATGGCCTCGTCACCGAGTTAAAATATGTCAATAGTCCAACCAGTTACGTTGGATAGTTTTTACTTAATCAACATTTTTTTGACAAAATTCTAAGTTTTACTAGAATCGGACCCAAAACCATAACCAGGTGATGGTTCGAACGATTCAACCAGCCAAGCAAACAATGGGTTAAAAACACTGCCTTTTACATGAACTTCCCAAAAGCAACATGTCGCATCAACTCAAATAACCTATTTCAAAATGGGTAAATTTCTTAAACTACCCTAATGGTTTAGCTAATTGACTAAGTGTACCCTTACTGATGTTATCTTATTGTTTTTGGCAATTGACTAACTCTATCCTTACCGTTAATATTCCGTCAAAACTCGCGTACACGTGAGATCACGTAATGTTTAAACTTCTTTTAAAACCCAATATTACCCCCTCCCTTGTCCCCTTCCTCTGACCAGCAACCCCTTCCTCCTTAGACCTCCAGTGTCTTCTCTCTTATCTCGCTCTTACCTATGGCCGAAGGAGATTTCCTCTAAAAAATCAAAAAATCTTTGAAAATCCCCCATTACTTCGATTCGTGGAATCCGCACCCTCAGTCGATCAGCTCTCCCTTCTTATCCTATAATTCCTATTCATTGCGAAGAACAATTGCTAGGCTGCTAGAATACCCAGATCCTCGAAAGGCCGATATCCAAAAACCACAGAGACATCAGACAAAACAGGGAAAGATCGATATCCAGATAAGAAAGAAAGAAAATATGACAAACCAAACAAAATAGGTAAAGATCAAAAGCACAATTACCAAATATCCCTATAAAACAGTTTGAATCTTTATCGCGACTAACCTTTCCCGCCCACCACCAAACATTGTCCCTTTGCCTTGACTTGTAAGCCTCACAACGACCACCACCACATGCACAATTGCAGTGGCAGCATCTGCTACAGCTACCATGGCTGCAACCACCATAATGCGTGCTTGTTCTGCTCCTTCCCAATCTCGGTGTAATAAGACCCCAACCAAGCAGCATCTGCTTGACTTATGTTATTCGGAATGCTATACGAGATCTGACCCATTCTCCCCAAATCCCTCCCTGACTTGCCAAAACTCCATCTTCTGTTATCTTTCCGATCGTCGGAGCTAAAATTCTCCCTATGTTATTTATTTTTCTTCATTCCCAAAACCCTATTTCCGTTTTCTTTCCTATGAATATAACTTCAGAAGAGACAAAGCAAATCGCCTTGTAAGAAAATTAAATAAAAAAATTGCACAAGAAAACCCAAAGAAAAAAACAAAAGGGAAGAAATAAAATGGTGGTAAACCCTAGGCCGTTTTGGAGGATCTTGAAGTAGAAGGCCAAACATAAAAAAAAAAGCAAAAAATGGAAAAAAATGAACATATTGCACATGCTCGAATAAAGCCAACAATAGAAGAAACCTTTGAATAGTGAAAATCCAAAAGCACAAAAAAGCATGGTTTTCATACCGCCGTTGACCTGGACAAACAGAAATTTTGGACCGGGAATCGTCCAGGCAACCGGTTCCGTTTTACCCCAATCTCAATCCCTGACCAAAAACCGTTGAATCGATCAACGACCCATTGACCCGAGTGGTTGAACTATTGACCCGTTCAATGGTTTTTTACCATATTTTTTATTTTTTTAAATTGGAAACCATCCAGGCAATCGGTTCCATTTTATCCCAATCCTGATCCCTAGCCAAAAATAGTTGAATCGGTCAATGGTCCATTAACTTGGGCGATCAAACTGTTGACCCGTTCAATGGTTTTTGGCTTTTTTTTTTATATTTTTAATTTTTGTTATCAAAACCGGCTGTTTGTTAGAACCGGATGGTCGAACCATCAACTCAAAAATCGGTGGCCAAAACGGTTCCATTTTCGGGTTGTATAAGTCACACGCTCGAATGACATAACACGTATGATATTATTTAATGGACCTCACACACACAATTTTTTGCTTGTAATTTTTGTTGTCAGAACGGGCCATCCGTTGAACCGCCGTTTTTATTATTTTTTTAGTTGAGAACTGTCCAAGCAACCGGTTCCATTTTACCCCAATCCCGGTCCCTAGCCAAAATTGTTGAATCGGTCAATGACCCATTGACCCGAGCGGTCGAACCGCCAATCCATTCAATGGTTTTTGGTCGTTTTTTATTATTTTTGTAATTTTTGTTGTTAGAACGGGTCGTTCGTCCGTTCGAACCGTCGACCCAAAAACTAGTGGCCATAACGGTTCCATTTTCGGGTTGTATGAGCTACGCACTTGAATGACATAACACGTATGATACTACTTAATGGACCTCACACACAATTTTTTTCTTGTAATTTTTGTTGTCTGAACGGGTCATCCATTCAAACCGGTCGGTCAAACCGTCGACCAAAAAATCGGTGGTTATAACGATTCCGTAATTTTTTTGCTTATAATTTTTGTTGTCAGAATGGGCTATTCATTCGAACCAAACGCTTGAACCGTTAACCCAAAACCGATGGCATATATATACACTAAAGGGCTGCCATTTGGCGAAAGGGGAGACCACCCCCCCTTTAATATATATATATATATTAGAGGGTTAGGAGGGTGAGGAGGGTCGTTAAATCAACATTAGAGGACTTAGGCAGTCATTATCTAGATTTAAAAAGTGTTTAAACTTCAATATACTTGTACCAACCATTCCCCATAAGGTGAAAGAGGATTACTGAGATTTAAACACTGAGAAGAAGTTGAGAATATGTAAAATGTACAAAAATTAGGTTAGGAAAGATCTAAGAATATTCTACCATGAAAAGTTGAAAATTAAACCCCTATTGTATGGAGCACATAATTAAGAAATTGGAGAGAAGTGTTTATGAGGTTAACCAATAATTTACAAATAAAACAAATTAAATGCTCATAAAAATTAGCTTGGCTTTGGAAAAAGCCCTAGAACATTTGAGAGAGTTTACACATTTAAGAGAGCTAAACATGTCAAGTTGTAACTGTCCATTTACAAAGGCGTGTGTGTAGGCTGACATTAAGGAAGGATTTAAATAGAAAGTGAAATATAGGGGCTTACCAATTTGGGTTTAGAGAAACGTACGAGGACAGTAGAAAAAAATAGAGGGAAAATTGGGTAGAAGAAAATAGTTAAAGTTAGGGGAATAAAATCTCTCTAGGCAAACACATTAATAGCATGTTAAATGACTATTATTGTCTCCGTTTGTTGTATTTTTTTTTTTGTAAATAGGGGATAATGAAAAATAATTTAATAGCTATATACGTGGTAATATCAACATTAAGGGTTACTTTTATAATTGGAAAAGTTCCCGATTAATACCATATACTTTGGCTCGAGTGACAATTTGGTCCCTGAACTTTAAAATGTGACAATCTAATACCCGAACTTCCAAAATGTGACAATCCAGTACCTGTCGTTAATCAGTCCGTTAATCGGCCATTAAGTGACATTTGAAAAGTCAAAAATATCCTTCAAATGCCATCTAATTCTCTTCAATAATCATACAAACGCAAACAAAAAAAAACTGAATAATATATCCCAAATCCTAGCCTCTTCTATTCAAAAAAAGTTGGCGACTGTTTAGAAGAATTTAGAGTTTGGGACTATTCATTTTATTGTCAATGTTTGGATGGTTGATAAAGAGAATTAGATGACATTCAAAGGACATTTTTGACTTTTCAAATGTCACTTAACGGCTGATTAACGGTAGGTATTGAATAGTCACATATTGAAAGTTTGGGTACTGAATTGTCGCATTTTAAAATTTGGATACCAAATAATCACTCGAACCAAAATACGGGATACTGATCAGAAATTTTAAACAAAATAACATCACACATATAAGAAGGGAGAAAGCAGAGGTACTCATGCATGTGAACAACCTTGTGAGAGCCCTCTTGCCTTCTCATGTTCCTCTTTATATCATAGACATATATATATTACCGAAACTGTAACTTTGTTATTAAGTGTGTAATGTTATATATATTATACTTTTTGTTGCATGCATTTGATAGGGAAACGAGACCTATATGCAGCCGTGAATTATAGTTTATTCCACGGAATCAAGGGCTCTTGCGCATAAGGCATAAGCTCCATTATTTATTCCACGGAAGATTAATCAGAAAAACCGAAAATAGACCAACTAAATACAAAACACTGAATTCCCTTCTCCATAGCTAGCTACCAACAAATTAATAAGGTGGAATCGACTGGAGTTGCCATCCCGGCCCAATCAATATTCAGGGCTCAGGGGATGACTTGCAGCTTGATATAAACTTCTATATATCTCCATCTTACGACGACACCAACAACACAACCACGAGTACACACGTACGTATGCACAATAATCAATTCAATCCCCACAACACAAACACAATTAAAGAAGATTTGATGAATACATGCCATCCATGGATATATGCATGGCCATATGGGGTCCTATCTATCTCCGGTCGATTGGGTTCTCATCCACCGAAATAGACGTTCTCTTGATAAACTCCAAGCAATCCGCGATAGCTTCAGAATAAAATGAATTGGACGAACGTCCATACGAATATGATGATGATGATCCCAACTTACTGTCAACTGCTGGATATCGATGATGCCCAAAACTCCGTCCTCTTCCACAACTGCTGATACTTTTCTTTATTGATGCAACTGCTTGTCCAT